CCTTCAGGAGATGCTCACCAGCCCCCAGAGATGTCTGTGTTCAGGCTGGGCAGCAAGACCAGATCTCAACCTGCAATGAGGAATCCTCTTTCTCCCCTTTCCAGGATAGGATATCACATCCCCATGTTCATCGGGTTCGTCATCATGTTCCTCTCCACAGTCAGTGAGTATGGCCCTTCGGTCTGCCCTTCGTACCCAGCAGCACAGGAGAAAATACTCTGGTCTGTGCCTGCACTGCTGTCCCCGTGCAGGGGAGAGGAGCGAGAACAGAGCAACCGGTCTCAGAAATCGGTGACGAGAAAGGGCGAGCGGCACCCAGCACCCCCCAGCACCCAAACTGGTGCAAGCCGGGGCCGCCGCGACCCTCCGCAGGGCTGCAAGGCTCAGCCCGGGGTCCTGCCTGACGCCGTGTCTCTCCTTCCTCCGCAGTGTTTGCTTTCTCAGGCACCTACTCCCTGCTGCTCACCGCCCGAGCCCTCCAAGGCGTTGGGTCATCGTTCTCATCAGTTGCAGGTAAAGGCTGTACCTGCACTTGAGCCTCTGCGTTATCTCCCCTCGTCTGGGTTCTGTTGGGAACGATCAGCAGCAGTGCCTTCCTCGGCTTCAAACTCCTCCTCCTCCTCACTGCGCCTGCCTGGTGCAGATGGTGCACCCACACCCAGCCAGCAGCAGACAAACTCCCCCAAAAGCCTTGGCTGCTTTCGGAGAGCAGCCTCAACCCCCCCGGTACCAGCCAGCCTCACGCAGCCTCCGCTCTCTCTCCGCTCCCAGGCCTGGGGATGCTGGCCAGCGTCTACACCGACGACTTCGAGAGGGGCAACGCCATGGGCATCGCTCTTGGAGGCCTGGCCTTGGGTCTGCTGAGTAAGGAGACCTTGTTCCCAACGGGGTTTATGCCAACAGCGTCTCCAGAGCCTTGTTGGCCATCACCTACGGCTTCCACCCACCTGGCTGTGCCCCTTCCCCGGTGCCATCCCATGGGCATGGCTGGCCTGTCCTCCTCCCTCCCTCTGCTCACTCTCCATGGGACTTGATCCCTTCCCAAAGCCTTCACCCAACACCCACCGGGGGATCCAGGGAGAACCAGGACAGCGGGAGCCGAGCGCGGCTGCGGGGCGCTGGGGACGGTGGCACTGCCGCTGCGTGACGCAGCCCTTCCCTTGCAGTCGGGGCACCCTTTGGGAGCGTGATGTACGAATTCGTGGGGAAATCATCTCCCTTCCTGGTCCTGGCGTTCCTGGCCCTCCTGGACGGAGGTGAGAAGCCGAATGGTTTAATCCATCCGAAAAAAAAAAAAAAAAGCACAGGAAAAGATTTAAATGCAGACGTTTTGGGGAGAATCTCATAGGACTTGTGAGAAGGAAGAAGCAGATTAATACCACATGGGTGATATCATCAGCACTGGTTATTCTGTTATTGCTAAATCATATGTTTTCTGCCAGCAGATGACTGACATAGCAATAGAGTAAGAATTAGTCCCTCATTACTTAATAAGCCCCTTGATTGCTTTAATGGCTGACTAGCACATTCAGCAAAGCTCTTTGAACTGCGGGTTCCTTGTCAAAGGCACACTTGTCTGCAGTGTGCCACGAAGGACTGAGACTTTGCCAGCATGAATGGTGATCCTTCTTCTTTCCCCATAGCTCTAGTGCAGACGTGGGCCACGAGAGCCTTCAGAGTGTAACAGCAAATTTATAGAGGGCAGAAATGTGCATTTTCAGTGGAAAGTATTAAGCTAATTCAATTATAGTCACAGTTACCATCTTTGCCTAGATGTAATGCACGACATCTTTAATGAAGCATGTAAGAGCTTTCGGAAAATGAAACGTAGGTCCCATATATATGAAACTTTCTTTTTTAATCCTATTCTTTTCCCCGCTCTGATTTCTGCCATGCTCTAGTTGTGGCTCCCCAGCAGGCAGCTGGCAGCCTGACGGGAAGCATTTGCATATTCCACTGCTTCATGGGTTGACAAAACACTTCCAACACAGTCTCAAACTTCAGGGAGTTTTGCTGCTCCCTCCCGTGGGAGCGGGGCTGGGACCCACCTCTCCCTCTGCCCACTTGAACGACGTCCCCTGGACACAGTTACTGCATCCCCCAAGGGGGCTTTGCCCATGGAAGGGGTTGGGCTGACGGAAAAGCCAGAGGGAAACACGGATCGAAGCGATGCTGTCTCCAGAGCTAAGCTAACATCAGTGTTTTCTTCCCAGCTTTGCAGCTCTGCATACTGCAGCCCTCCAAGATCTCCCCCGAGGTGAGTACAGAGGGGTGCGCACACGCGAGCCGGTGCCAGGCGGCGGAACGAAGCGGGCACGCACTGCCCGGGGAGGGGGGCTCTGCAGGCACAGGGCTGCTGTGACCCCCCTTTGCCATCCTACAGAGCACCAAGGGCACGCCGGTGTCCACCCTGCTGCGAGACCCCTACGTCCTGGTCGCTGCAGGTAAGGGCAGACGTCGGCACCCACCGGCATCTCCTCGTTGGAGAGATCCGCGTGCGCCGGCTCGACACGGCAGCAGGAGGTGGCTGAAATGGAGCGTTTCTCCCTTTTCCCCCCGCCAGGAGCCCTCTGCTTCTCCAACATGGGGGTGGCCATGCTGGAGCCCACCTTGCCCATCTGGATGATGCAAACCATGTGCTCCCCGAAATGGCAGCTGGGTAGGTGTCGTGCTGTGCAGCCTTCACTCCTAAACAGTTGCTTCATATACTTTAGCTAGAACCAGTCCTGCTTTGGCACTGGGAGATGGATCGAATAACCTCTTATATCATTCCAAAAAAGAAGAAAACATACACCCTCACCTGCGCAGAGGCTGCACGTTGCTCCAATTTCAGCTGGAAATGTCCTTAGTGGTAGTGATACAATATGCTTTTCTCTATTATTGAAAAAAATTGTATAGAATCAGGCTCCCCACAAGAGCAATAACAGTGGAAGAAAGGCTGTTCTGCGCACGGGAAGCCTGTCGAGCCCTGTCTTCTGCAGGGCAGATAATGGTGTCGTGCTGGGCTGAAATCGTGGCAGCCAGATGGGTTTTCCAGAGGCAGCTCTGAGTAAAACAAGGTCATTTAGAGAGTCCCAGGTTTGTGCTAATTACCAGCTGCCTAGAAAATATGATATGGAGATAACATTGTCTGTGTTTGCTACAGGAATAAAAACTAATTGTTATAAAACCCAATTGGTTGAGGAATGACCCGGGGGGTGCCCCAGGCTACACTTAGATCCCAAATTGAATTGCAGCCCGGGAGCAGGAGGGCTGAGAGCGCTCCTAATGGAGTTACAGACCGGTCAGGCAGGAGCATCCATCCCGATAAGAGCCTGCGATGCTTCTCATGAGCCAGCGATGGAGCAAGGGTGGGTGAGGATGAAGCGGTGTCCCAAGGCAGCGGGGAGAAGGGACAGCGTGGCTGCCTGGTAACCACCAATGTCACAGGCTGAGAAATGCACTCAGGGCTGCTCCTGTCACCACTGAAATCAAGAGGAACCTTTGAGGTGACTTAGCAGGACCCAGAGGTCAGCAGACATCAAAGAAAACCCCGAATATATTCTCTAGATTTTCAGGTATCTGAGATTTGAGAGTAGTTTGGATTCAGGCACAGTTCAAGTGCCAGCCACCCACCTCACAAGTTGTTATGTACTCAAGGGGCTTCTTTATTTGCATGCTTTGGTTTGCCCACCCCCATAGTTCTGCAAAAAAACCACAGAGGAGCTTGGACTAAACCTGCAGGATCAGTCATGCTCTGTAGCTGTTAAAGAGAGGAAAGAAAATGAAACATAAACCACTGTGTTTAATAAGGAAGTTGTCTTAGTGAAATGGAGCTGATCAGTTTTATTTATAGTCGGTGGGAGAGCATATTAAAAATAAACAACTGGTAAATCAGCAAACGGTGCAAATATTTAATTTTGATTACATAATGATCCCCAAGGTTTTTACTTAAGCATTTACTTTATTCCTCTTCATTTAGTGACTCAAAAGCAGAAGGCAAGGGGAGAAAGTCGGAAGAGGAAGAAACTATGACCAGAGAGAAGGATGAGTTTATTAAAGCAGAGGGGACAAAAAAGTTCAGCGTTTAGCTTCTGGTTATCTCCCAGACGTTGTGGGTGAATCCCCGCACCGCTGCGTGCCTCAGTTCCCCCCATCAAAAGCAAACACATTTTCTACAGCTCTGCCCCACACTTGTATAGGGCACGGAGCAACGGGGCAGCCCACGCAGCTGCGGCACGGAGCAACGGCAGCCTAGGACACGGAGAAGCACCAGTGCATGGACTGGCACCCGCAGAGCGGGTGCTGGGCATTAGCTTGCCGTGCCCGGCTCACGACATTCTCCAGATGAGGGGGGCAGTTAGCAAAGTGAACATTTTTGCTAATCCCCTGTATTTACTCGGGGATGACACACTCTTTGTTTGTCCTTTCTCTCTCTCAGGGATGGCGTTCCTCCCTGCCAGCGTATCCTACCTCATCGGCACCAACGTCTTCGGGATCCTGGCTAACAAAATGGGCCGGTAAGTGGAACGTAAGAGATTTCAACTCAACCCAGCTCAGTTCTGTGCTTTCAGCACGAATTACGCTCGTGGTGCTGCACACACCGAGAACAACTGCCCGCTCCTAACTGCAGCCTCGTTGCAGGTGGCTGTGCTCCCTGATCGGCATGGCTCTGGTGGGAATCAGCCTCCTCTGCGTAAGTAGCCCAAGAGAATTTTGAAACCTCTCTGTAGAAGAATCAGCAGGGGCAGTGTGGGTGATCGTACTGAGACAGGGTTACGTGCCCAGCAGTCAGTAGACGTTCAATGGCTGCATGTGTGTATGGGTTTCACAGCTCTATGTCCCACCTTTGCCCCTCACGCAGCTCTTCTGGCCTCATTCACACATTCTCTCTCTCTCCTCTCAAAGGTACCTCTGGCCAAAAACATTTACGGGCTCATCGGCCCGAACGGTGGGCTTGGCTTTGCCATAGGTAAGCTGTCGGTGCTCCGGCTGCGCAACGCAACTCCCACCACTGCCCTCGGAGAAGGCGACGACTGATCAGGTCCTTCTGGCTTTGGGCAGGAATGGTGGACTCCTCAATGATGCCTATCATGGGTTACCTCGTGGACCTTCGCCACACCTCCGTCTACGGCAACGTCTACGCCATAGCGGACGTCGCCTTCTGCATGGGCTTTGCGATCGGTATGGATGGACTCTTACCCACGGCATGACGTACTCAGTGTGCATCTCACTCGGCTCGTTGCTCCCTCTCCTCCAGGCAGCGTTCACTGCAAGCACTGAGTCTGCAACCCAGTCACCGTAGATTCACAGACCCCCTCCAAACCGGAAAGGCAACTTTTGCTCTCTGTCATTCTAGGCTTTTTTCATTTCCAAATCTGCAGGCCCATCCACAGGCGGTGCGATCGTACGAGCTATTGGGTTTCCCTGGCTGATGGTCATCATTGGAGTTATCAATATTGCTTACGCTCCCCTCTGTTGGTACCTGCGCAACCCTCCCGCTAAAGAGGAGAAGATTGTGAGTTCAGGCATACTTTATGCCCTTAAAGTATAGGGGATTGACAATCCAGAGATTTGGTGGGGGGGAGTAGAATAAATTTGCCAGGGATTGTGTCTTCCCTTTTGGGTTCCACTCTGCCCTCAAAAAAGGGACGAAAACCTCAGAGAATAAAACCAAGAAAAGTCTGGGGCTACGGTCTTTCCTCGAACCCACAGCTTGGGCAAAAGTTGCTGGCTGCTTGGGCTTTGTCTAAAAGTGGTAATGCTCCTGTTAACTGTTTGAATTAATCCCTATTTTTACTAAAGTGTGGTTTCTCCTCTCCTTGACCCAGGCAATTAATGCCCCATGCAAACCAACAGCTACACTACTCAGAAAACCCTGCGCGATTTCCCTCTCACAGACGACAGCGACGTGGAGGCAGAAGATGCGGAGTAGCAAGTGCAAGGGTGCGTGCCCTGTTTTGAAGCTATATTATGTTTACAGAACAGGGATGTATCAGCACCCAGAAATAACCCAGCCTCCCCCGAGACTTGTGGACACAGGACAGACACGGGCTGTGTCGCTGAGCTGTTCTCTTGGCCACGCAACCCACAGCAGGGTGTAGAGACCCAGGATTTGGAGGCTCTACCCGTTTAGTTAAGCCACTCCTTTGCTGTGTGACTTCTAGGCAAGTTACCCAAACTCATCACACCTCATCTGTAAAAAAAAAAAAAAGTTACAAAGATGAGGAGAATCGAACCATCCTGCCCTGCAGAACAAAACTGTCTCGGGCACAGCCTACCATGCAGTAGGGAGTAGCAGCAACACCTCTCCCAGACGAGTCCAGTGGCATTTGCTGATGTCTTTAAAGCGCTTAGCGTTCTTGAAAGAAAAGCACTGGAGAGAAGAAAACTGAAATCAGCAGCATCAGCTTTGGGAGATTTCTTTCTCCAGAATTCTGCTATAATCCCCAGCACGAAACCTTTCTGTAACAACAGGGCACTATCCCCCCGTGTCACTGCCAGTCCGTCAATAAAGACGTCACCGTTCTGCTCATGTGCTCCACGCTCCTCTGAAGACAGTTTAAAAAAAACCTTCATTGCTGTCTCAGTACAGCTTCATGTGCTGTTATTTATGTGCTACTTACAGCTGCTTGTGTGTCCTTTCCAACATCCATTAAACTCATTCATTTATTTGAAGGACTCTAAGAAATTCAAGCAGAAATAAGGCTGAAGGCAGTTTTAGACTCCCAGACACAGACTCAGCCACCAAAGCTAGTCAGGTCCCTCGTGATTGTCAGTGACTAATAGCACATTTTTTAAAATCCCTGCCTCTCCGCTGAGATGGGGTAACGGGCTGTGTTTGTGATCCTAACCCATGGCCATGAGAAGTACGAAGGATTGATTTAATTGCCATTTTGTGATTTCCTGGCCACAGGTTTAGAAAGAGAGCAGCTGCGCTGTTAACAATCATTATTGAGCACAATGGTCTGTAAAAGTATGGTAGAGTTAAGTAAAAGAGGGTGAAGTAATAGCGGCACCAAATTAATGACGTAAGTATCAGCGAAAATTCCCATGATCTCATTTTTTCCAGTGTCACCTCAAACTTACAACTTCTCTGGCTCCACCGTTGGCAGTTTATACAAACTCATTTCTGTCTTGAATGAGCAGTTGTGTAACGCACAGCCATTCCACTTGCCAGAAAGAACAGATGATTCACCGCTCCGGAGCCCGAGCGGCACAACGCAGATGCGCTTGCCAGCAGGGAAACGGGAGGATCGTAACAATTCATCAAGATTTGGTACCTTATGACTCATTACCAAAGGTCATAAATGGCTATTGTCAGGCAATCCCACATCCACAGCGGGCCCGTTGCCCCTGGCTTTGCACATACAAGATGAAATTATATTTCTTAGGCTGACTGGAAGTGACTAATGCTAAGCCTGTTCTCAAAAACAGCGTTATTTTTATCTTCCACCTGTTTCCTTGCTTTGCCAAGAATAAAAACGTGTTTGCTTTCTGCGATGGAAGGAAAAAGAGCGAGCCGTTCTATTTGGGGATTTATTCACACCTCCACAGCTCACCTCCCAGTTCAATATTAACTGGAAACCCCTCTGTGTGCCCAGCGGCTGGTTGCTCTGGAAACCCACCCGCGGGAGCACGGCGGAGGCAGATCCGATCTCCCTCCCCGGGCACCTCACCGGGCACCGCTTTGCTGTCATCGGCAGCGCCAGGCTCCTCCCTCCGGCACTGGCACCTCGGGCTTTCTAATTAATAAATCAACTTCAGCGCCGGTTACATTGATGGGAGTTTCTCTGCTCCGAGGGAAGAATCAGGCTGTGATCTTGGCATCAAACCACTCGATTCCTTTACCCACCCTGCTGAAAAAACTCATCTGCTATACTAATAAACATTTCTATACTGAAAGAGGGGAGATTTCAAGTGGATCTAAGGAAGAAATGTTTTATAATGAGGGTGGTGAGGCACTGGCACAGGTTGCCCAGAGAAGCTGTGGCTGCCCCATCCCTGGAAGTGTTCCAGGCCAGGTTGGATGAGGCTTTGGGCAACCTGGTGTAGTGGAGGGTGTCCCTGCCCATGGCAGGGGCGTTGGAACCGGATGACCTTTGAGGTCCCTCCCAACCCAACCCATTCCATGACTCCACGACTAATTCCTGCGCGCATTCCCAGCGATGCACGCCAGCTCTGCGGCTCAGGGAAACCGAGGGATGCACGGAGGGTCCTGGCAGCTGTGTAGGGAGGACTTTCCCCTCCTTGTGCGTTTCCCTCGCAACCTCCGCAATA